TTCCTGTATCTTTCGATTTGTTAAACAACAGTTAAACTAAATCACGCGCTCCACAGCGCGCAATTCATTCAAATAAAGTTCAAAGCCATTTAGTGCCAGCCTAAACCATTGTGGACATGAAGCCTACTGTATTCAACAAACATATTAAAATAAATTATACGCGCTCCGGAGCGCATAATTCACCATATCAAGTTCAAAGTCATTTAGTGCCAGCCTAAACTATTGTTTTGTTGCGCAATTCTTCTTGAAGGCGGAACGGCGCGAACCCCATTGTTGAGTGATTCTTCTAGAACAGGGATTGGCCCGAACCCCACTGTTGAGTGATTCTTCTTGAACGGGGATTGACCCGAACCCCACTGTTGAGTGATTCTTCTTGAACGGCGATTGGCCGAACCCTACTATTGAAAGATTCTTCTTGAACGGGGATGGCCGAACCCCATTGTTTACTGGTTCTTCTTGAATGGGGATTGGTCTGAACTCCACTGTTGAGTGATTCTTCTTGAACGGGGATTGGCCGAACCCCATTGTTTAGTGGCTCTTCTTGAACGGGGATTGGCCCGAACCCCACTGTTGAGTGATTCTTCTTGAACGGGGATTGGCCCGAACCCCACTGTTGAGTGATTCTTCTTGAACGGGGATGGGCCGAACCCCACTGTTCAGTGCCGAACCCCGTTGTTGAGTGATTCCTTTTGAACGGGGATTGGCCCGAACCCCACTGTTGAGTGATTCTTCTTGAGCGGGGATTGGCCCGAACCCCACTTTTGAGTGATTCTTCTTGAACGGCGATTGACCGAACCCCACTTTTGAGTGATTCTTCTTGAACGGTGATTGGCCTGAACCCCACTGTTCAGTGATTCTTCTTGAACGGCGATTGACCCGAACCCCATTGTTGAGTGATACTTCTTGAACGGGGATTGGCCCGAACCCCACTGTTGAGTGATTCTTCTTGAACGGGAAATGGCCCGAACCCCACTGTTGAGTGATTCTTCTTGAACGGTGATTGGCCGAACCCCACTGTTGAGTGATTCTTCTTGAACGGGGATTGGCCCGAACCCCACTGTTGAGTGATTCTTCTTGAACGGCGATTGGTCTGAACCCCACTGTTGAGTGATTCTTCTTGAACGGGGATTGGCCGAACCCCATTGTTTAGTGGCTCTTCTTGAACGGGGATTGGCCCGAACCCCACTGTTGAGTGATTCTTCTTGAACGGCGATTGGCCCGAACCCCACTGTTGAGTGATTCTTCTTGAACGGGGATTGGCCCGAACCCCACTGTTGAGTGATTCTTCTTGAACGGGGATTGGCCGGAACCCTACTGTTGAGTGATTCTTCTTGAACGGGGATTGGCCCGAACCCCACTGTTGAGTGATTCTTCTTGAACGGGCATCCTAGGCAATGAGTGAAATCTACTCAATTAGGTAGTAGGGAAAAACCTAACCCCCTTGTTGAGTGATTCGCGTTGAACGGGTCAACAAGGGAGTGAGGAAAAACCTAACTCCCTTGTTGAGTAATTCTTGTTGAATAGGTGACATCAATTGGAACACAAAGGGCCCAACAAGGGAGTGAGATAAAACGGAACTACCCTCTTGAGTGATTAAACTGGAATCACTCAACAAGGGAGTTAGGTTTTTCCTAACTCCCTTATTGAGTGGATTTGTGTTTTGCCAAGATTCCACTGCCAATCGAAGCTGATGGCTGATCCAATCCAGCTGCGGAATCATGTGGGGACAATTCCTCCTCTAAATGCAAAACATCACCATCAGCGCCAAACAGGCAATAGAAGGGAGTGGAGATGGAAGAAAATGGCGAGTCCATGTAACCACACTTAATCGTGACACTATAGTGTCTCCATTTCCCACCAACAAAAAATGATAAACAATTTGAAAAAACATACTTAGACAAGTAGATTACTGCTTTCATAAAAGTGAGCGTGTACATGCCCACAGTAATGGTAGCATCAAGCTGCGGAATGAATCTGAACATATCTGAGCCCAAGGGCCCCAACAAAGATGTTGGTATATGGAGTCCGTAGCCTGATGTTAAATGGTTTTGAATGCCATTTAATTAAAGTAAATTACACCTTCAGTATTTGAATGTGTTGAACAAAGTACGTTTCATTTAGTTACATGGGATCAACATGCGAGACAATAGTTTAGGCTTGTAATAAATGGCATTGAACTTTATTTGAACAAATTACGCCCTCCGGAGCGCGTCATGATTACGCGCTCCGGAGCGCGTAATTGACTTTAGTATTTAAATGTATTGAATAAAGTACATGTTTCTTACATTGGGTCCAATAATATAGGCCCTATAGGCTGGTAGTAAATGGCTTTGAACTTTATTTGAACATATTACGCGCTCGAGAGCGCGTAATGATTACGCGCTCCGGAGCGCGCAATCAACTTTAGCATTTAAATGTATTGAATAAAGTACATGTTTCTTACATTGGGTCCAATAATATAGGCCCTATAGGCTGGTAGTAAATGGCTTTGAACTTTATTTGAACAAATTACGCGCTCGAGAGCGCGTAATTATTACGCGCTCCAGAGCGTGTAATTGACTTCAGTATTTACATGTATTGAATAAAGTACATTTTTCTTACATTGGGTCAATATACGAAGCAATACTATAGGCTGGTACTGAATGGCTTTGAACAAATTACGCGCTCCGGAGCGCGTAATTATTACGCGCTCCGGAGCGCGTAATTGACTTCAGTAGTTACATTTTTTGAAAAAAGTGCGTTTCATTTAATTACATGGGATCAGCATACGAGACAATAGCTTAGGCTGGTACTGAAAGGCTTTGAACTTTATTTGAATGGATTCCGCGCTCCGGAGCGTGTAATTGACTTCAGCATTTACATGTGTTGAAGAAAGTACGTTTCATTTAATTACATGGGATCACCAATACGAGACAATAGTCTAGGCTGGTACTAAATGGCTTTGAACTTTATTTGAATGGATTCCGCGCTCCGGAGCGTGTAATTGACTTCAGCATTTACATGTGTTGAAGAAAGTACGTTTCATTTAATTACATGGGATCACCAATACGAGACAATAGTCTAGGCTGGTACTAAATGGCTTTGAACTTTGTTTGAGTGGATTACGCGCTCCGGAGCACGTAATTATCAGTATTATTTACATTTGTAGAAGAAAGTGGTTTTCATTTAATTGCATGGGATCACCATACGAGACAATATAGTTTAGGCTGCTACTAAATGGCTTTGATCTTGATTTGAATGGATTACGCGCTCCGGAGCGCGTCATTATTACGCGCTCCGGAGCGCGTAATTGACTTCAGTAGTTAAGAGTGTTGAAAAAAGTGCGTTTCATTTAAATATATGGGATCAGCATACGAGACAATAGCTCAGGCTGGTACTAAATGGCTTTGAACTTTATTTGAATGGATTACGCGCTCCGGAGCGCGTCATTGTTACGCGCTCCGGAGCGCGTCATTTTTACGCGCTCTGGAGCGCGTTATTGACTTCAATATTTAAATGTGTTGAAAAAAGTGCGTTTCATTGGGTCACTATACAAGACAATAGTTTAGGCTGCTACAGAAAAATTGAGCCAAATTCCAACAGTTAAAAGTGATTTTCTGAATGATATCAAATGGAGCTTTTGGACGACCCTGAGTAAGTAAATACGAGTATTTGATTCTCATATATTATTTTCAAGTATCATTACAATCAATTACGTATTACTATTAATTATTATTAGTTTTTTTACATTATCACCATTTATTAATATTATTAGTATCTAACACAAAATGTAAAACACCAATGGTATATTTATATTCTTGCTATACTACTATAATCAGTATGTTTATGATCAATTACCATTATTAATGTTATAATACATTATCATCATACAGTATATTATTAATATATGACACTAAACATAATCATATCATTGTATCATTATAACAATATTGTCATATATTATCAAATGGTAATCATACATATTATCAGTATACAGTATAAATATACGGTTACATGTTAAATGAATTTAAATGATACATTGTGATACATATTGTTTTTAGTTTGTAACACTCAGGTGGCAAAAAAAACATCACCCCAACATGGCGACTTTGTCTAACATCGGGCGGCTTTTCACGAAGCGTTTCAGCTGCATGGCGCCGCCCGGGCGGATCTCCTGACGCTGAGCCTATTAGTATAGCTGCTATGAAAAAAGACATGGAAACACTATGGGAAAAAAAAGAAAAACCATGAAAAAACATGGGAAAACCATGGAAAAAAAAAACATGAAAAACAATGAGAAACCCACTATTGTTCATGGACAAAATCATGGATAAATCACGGATAAATCATCTATTGAATCTATTTCTATGAATCATTTTTCATAGCGACATGTTAAATAACCAGGTTGGGTAGTTGTCGGAATGCTATCAAAATGTGCAAGCCTGATGAAGAAAGCCACTACCCATCCCGAACCTCAGTTATCCCAGTGGCAAACTGGAATATAATGGAAATACACTTCCTTATATCCAATGGTCCTGGAAGTAGGGTACCGTTCCGAAACCATGCTCGTTTTGCTGAAGATACCGTCATGTTCATGTCAAAAAAGGGGAGGAACGTCATATTTTCCAGATGCTACGGTGCTTCACTCAGTAACCGAAGGCCATGCAAAAATGTGTTGGGAAAACGAACCATGTCCCTTCGGAATATGGCAAAACGGTTCCAAATCGAGATTGCCTAGGCACATGAGCGAATCGAATCCAACAGTCACGTGAACATAACGTGTATAATGTCAAGTAATCAACTTTGCACATGAATTTGTCTTAAAATGGTACTTAGATGGGCCATGGGGTTAGCTTTATAATCGGTTAATAAATACATTATACTTGGGACATCTTGGGACTTTGTAGTTTGTAACCCAGTTACCAACTAGGAATCGAGTTTTTCCCATGGCCCTCCAAATGCTATTCCAATTTACGACTTTGGGTGAGACAAAGCCACACAGATCGTTTCCCCACGTTCTCCTCTTCCCACTCTTCCAGTTCAATCGTTTCCGCTTCGCGCCTCAAAGATGCTGGAACAGACTGCATGAACATATGTATAAAGGAATTATAGTCATCCTGGAGTAGATAGAATATAGAAATTTCAGAAAATCCCATATGCTATCATGGGAAAATATTTGAAAATCCTAGATTCTATCTACTTCAGGATGATGATTAACATGATCTCCCTCCCAGTGAATTATGAAACAACTGGAATGGTGAAGGAAAGCAGGTCAGGTCGAAGCGACAATAAAACCCATGACAAAAAACACAGGTACTTCATGATATGTCCTACTTACTTGTCCTACTCATTAAAAAATACTACCCTCTGGTTATTTAACATAGCCATGGAAAATGGTCCGTTTATAGATGGTTTACCTATTAAAAATATTTAAAAATTGTGATTTTCCATGGATATGTTAGTCATAACCAGATGGTAAGTCCCATGGCTCCAATCATCAACGACAACGGGAACAGGACGAATCGGCACGGGCGACCTCGACTGCTTCGCATCCTTTCCTTCGGACAGGTCCCCGAAGAGATCTCTAGCAGTGACAGTTTGAATGACTGGCTATGACAAGACCCACAGTAGACAGATTTTCTCACCCCACAAAAAACAGCTATAGCAGCTATAGCAGCTAATTTGGATGGTGGCTTGGATGGTTTTTGGATGTTTCATTTAAGCGGACACTTGCAGTGAAAAAAACTGCAAGCCCACTTTGATGCCCCGCGTGGCGCATGGCTCCTTTATCTCCTTTGGAATTTTTGCCCTTGGCCTTCGCTGACCTCAGGGAGACTTTGGGGCAGGTTGGTGGTTGACCTACCCTCTGAAAAATATGAGGTCGTCAGTTGGGATGATGATCCCATATATTATGGAAACATATGGAAACATAAAAAATGTTTGAAACCACCAACCAGTGATGCATGCAGTCATGCCTATATCTCTATCTGCATACATATTGATATTACTTATTTCTGTGCATGTGAGGGGTGTGCATGACCGCGACTATTCACTATTACCAAGGGAATTCTGCGAAACATGACAATGTCAACATCCATCACTATCATCATACATAAATCTTGAGCAGTCATTTGCACAGAAATTCGAGTTTATAATCATGATCAATTGGCTGATGGACCGATGTGCATGGAATCATTACCAATATTCGCTTTTAAGATATGTCTAGTTGAATGTTTTATTTCCAAGAGATTCTCTCCTAGTTGTGTTGAAGAAACAATCTACCAGCATATGCGAGCCGGGACTCAAAAACAAACCTCTAATTAATGTTCAAATAGGATCCCAATAGACATGCAACAACATTCAGTTGCTGATGTGATGTCGCCACAAATGGCTCTCCAAGGCCCTTGCACTCCTAGCACTCCGAGCATTCCTGGCATATGCTCTCAGGCCGCGACTTCTCATCTCCAGATGTGGGTGGAGCTACCGTGGCTGTGGATGGCTTGGCCACATATCCTTTCTTGCCCAATAGCAGCAAAAACCTGGCCGTTTCAGCCACAAGAAGGTGCCCCCCCAGATGTGTGCCGGAAACCCTGTTTTGGATGGGGACATCATCCAACATCTGCAAATGGACATATCCATCACTCGGATTCACTCGGCCCAATGAAAAACACGCAACAAAGGCAATTGAACATGTTTGACGGAACTTCACTTTCTGGCATGATTTTCATCCTCCAAGCCTATTCTTTTAGGTTTTCAGGGTCCTAGTGACGGCTCGATCACCATATCCAAGAGGAAGCCGCACCAAATTCCTTAGCAACAAATGGTGGCTACGTCCAAGAACACAATATATAACCAGGGTGGTGGATTCAGTACATAATGACATACCTTGCCCAGCCAAACCGCAAGAAAACAAGAACTCAACTCCAAACCTCGCAGATCAGCAACTTTGTGGAATCGTGCGCATTTTTTCTGATCTTGGAACAATACATTGACATCCTTTGTGAAAGGACGAAAACAACAACATCATTAAATATCATGAACATCAACATGATCCCAAAAAACAGATTGAATAAAGGCAATAGCATTCTAAGGTTCTAAAGACATCCTGTATAGTCCAACCATGTCCAAAACATATATATATATTATATATATATATGTATATATGTTTCATACTGTTCAGCTAACTTACTTCAAAACATATTTACATGTTTCCAAGGATGTCCAAGGTATTTGGCAGGTTGAGGTATATTGGCCATATATTGGCCATAGTTGGCCACATATCCTCATTATTCCTCATTTCATTATGGCTAGATCATGGTTAAATCAGCATTGTTGATGGTAAAACTCAAAACATTATGGTAAATCCCATGAATAGTCATGAAATCCAGTTCATTCCAGTTCTTACTACATTTTTTCATGATAACTTCCTTGACTTCCAGATTTTGATGGTCAAAGCCATCATTTGTTCATGGTGAACTCCTCGAGATCGGGGATGCAGCTGGGTCTCCACAGGCGACGGAGACGATGGGGCCGCATATCAACACCAAGCGTGACATCTTTCCGGAGAAGTGCGATGCCTGGGCGATCCAAAGCTTGCGAATCTGGGATTTATCTGTGATTTTGGGCTTTGGGAAGTTGCTTCTTGACAGGATAAGTTGATTTTGGCTTCATAATGCGTATATATATATATATGTATATATGCGTGTGTGTGTGTACATATCCAGGGAGTTTCAGGGAACATGCGCAGGAAACTCCAAAATTTGGCAAATGTTCCCTCAGATTTCCTGCCGGATTGGTAAGTCCATAGTTTCCTTCAGATATTCTTTCCCATTGTCCACAGTTGAACTTTAGATGTTTAGCGGGATATCATAATAATCTGTGAACAAAAATGCATCTGGCTAGGGCTACGCTACGACCCATCCGGATGGGGCTTAGCAAGTGGTGGATGTTGTGAGTCATTGTTTATTGCTCAAGTAGATCCAACAGTTCGAATCCACATGCGGCAACCAGTTGTTGGTGTCAACCTTGGTAAAACATATGTAAACAAAAACAAAAACATAAGTTGTTTTTTGTTTGTGGACCGCGATGAAAAACAAAGCAGGAAGATGAGACAAAGTTCAAAACATGTTGAAATCAATAAGCCAAGATGAATCCCATAGCGTATGTCAAACACCCTATATCCTCCACCATCAGCATCACCTGCGACTGTCTTAATCCAACTGAAGTCGGGAGTGATTGCTGGGCTCATCCAAAGCATCACTGGAATACATCGATGCAACTCGTTTACACACATTTAATCCCTTCACAATCCCTTCCCCCCTAATTATTCTAAAGACCCATCGGGAAAAACTGGCCTAGGATTGTTTTGGTGGCATCTAAAGTTCGGGGGCTCATCATCAATCCCCTGACTTCAGCTGGCTCAACCCTACCCTGAGCTTCGTGACAATGAAACCATAGAGGCACATGAAGTAGAAACCTCAGCCCAGCTGTGAGTCGAGAAACTGCATGAAGAAATGCTGCAAAGGTTGGAAATGCTTGGAAGATCACCATGACACTTGTGAGATCTAACTTTCCCAACTACTTTCATCCATTGAGTGGTGAAGAATCGATCGCAAACAAATCACCCGCAGACCCCACGCACTGCCCGATGGCGCCATGGGATTTTCCCCGAGTCAAGCGACCGTTGTTGCGATTGAAGATGCAAACCAATCCGCCAAGCAAAACATAATCCAAGGGCATACCCAAGTGAGAGGCCTCAGAAAAAACGGCCTGAGTTTTGGTGGTGACAATTCAATTCACAGCAGTGTTACTGTCGGACGCAGTAGCTAGCACCTTCAGCAGCTTGGGAAAGAGAACATGTAGCATCTTTCTGAGCAAATTTGTTCTAAATATAGGAGCCGGTTGCTACAACACTGTGATCTGCGTAAGGTCTCCCATACATAGATTCTGTGGAAGACAGCAGCGTCACAGTTTCTTTCTCTTGCAGTTCCGATCAATGTGGCTGTTGTTAATTGTCATATAACTATATATCATATAATAAGTATATAAACAATAAATATGTGACAATTAACACCAGCATTAATTAAGTATTTGTCATATAACCAATGTGTTTATATATGGTTATCGTTTCACTTCTCACGTGTACTCACGTGACTCCACCCTTCGTTCAAAATTTGCGAATCTCTCTGCCATTATTGTTTGGACTTGTGGGACACATCATTCTCACAGTCTATCACCTGCATTTGCCAATGAAGCCCCCTCAAAATGTCTACTCCAACAGGAACAAGACACCATCCAGCGCACCAATTCTGTAGTTCTCCATGCCACACACTTTTTGGTGGGGTGGGCGCAAGGAGTCAGGCGTGAGAACCCCGTAAATCATAAATCACTATAACATTGCCAAAAACATGATTCCCTGCAAAAACTAGTATACCGTCCATTCATGGATTCATGGCAAAAAACATTTGCTAAAGTACATGCTTGACTGCTTGACAAAGAAAAAAAAGGTACCGATTGGAACTACCCTTCTGTTGTCAAATGTGGCAATCGGAAATCCCATACCAATGGACGTTTTAATGGGAAATTCGTCTTTTTGTATGGGGGATAGATATGCAAAAAAGCCACGTACCCGTTTCCCCCAGCTCCAGCAAGACGCGTAAATCTTGGGGTTGGCAGGCTGATGCTCGGCCACCGAGTCCACCAAGGGGTTGCCTTCCGTTTATCCAAGGTGATTCGGAAAACGTCGTGTTTAGATATGGTTTTGAAGAACTGTTGGCTACCCACAGGAAAAATCCCAAACCATCCCATCAAACGAAGCGATAGTTGTACCTGCAACAAGCCTCATCTAAAAAATGTTGATCTTCTTGTACAGTAAGAACGCTGCTGGCATGTGGCTGTCCGGATTATTGTGTCCACAATCAAGAAACTCTGGATGTGTGCAACAATTCAAATCATACGAGCCCCAGTACTAGTTCCATCTCACATTTTCTACACTGTAACTCGGCGCCGTTGTTGGAACGGCCAGCGATCGCTGTATTCCAAAATTGGGGAGACCACAGCTTTGACTTTGGGCAACCAATTTTTGGAGCGACCAAAAGTTCTGACCCATACGCAATTGCCAGCCACCCCAAAAATCTACCACCTTCTTTTCGTTCAAAAAAACCGACTCCATAGAGCCGCAGGGGATACCACTTAGTTAGTTGTAGGGTACGTAGATGGACGATGTTTCTTTCATTGATGAATGCAAGCAAGGCGGCTTTGTGCCCATGAAAACAACTTTCCGTCATCTTGCTGCTCAAAGTATACCATACCCCTTCTGTTGACTTCTCTCCAAAGAACTTGACTTGTTAAAAAAAAAACGGAGCTTACATGTCGTCTTAGTGTGAAATCATCAGCACAGGCCACAAGCCGAACCTGTCTTGGTGTGTTTCACGAATAGACCTCGGCAATGGTCAAGTCATGAGCCACCGTAGTATTATTTGCTGAACAAAAGCATGATGATCCAATGATGATCCAAAAACATCCTCTCAAACATTCTCAAACACTGTGCCCATCCGATCCCACCCCGAATCAACGGCCAGCGTATCTGCCCCTTGCCCTTTTTCAGCGGCGGCCCGGATCGCAGCTTGCAGCTTGCAAGGCAGGTAATCCCTTGGGCCTAGGGAAATTAAGAACTGCTTTAAAGACTTACAAAAAAGAATCATACGTATTCATATGGACATTGTATGACATTGTATGACATTGTTACATATATATCATATTGTGTATATACTGATATGTCATGACTATATAAGAAAAAACATGATTCCAATTCCCACACTCTCTCTCTCTCTGCATCATTGATGAGGTCGGCCAGGGCTGTCACTGTTTGCCCAAGAAGTCGATGGTTTCTGCTTGAGTTTCACCTCATGCCTGCCATGCCCGCCATGCCCGCCATGCCCCATCTGTTGCTTGGAGCTTCAGCACCACGGCAGCCTGCAACTTCTGCAACTTCGAAGCTAACTGGTCGGATAGCCCGTTGAAATGCCTGTAGCCAGGGCTGGTGGGCTGACCGTCAGTTCGACCATGGGCAGAACTCCACATGTTTAGGGAAAGTGACCTTCTAACCACCTGGCAGGGGATGATATTGTGTACTGATTCCGCTTATTCACAAATATGACCACTGATGCTATTGTGATTCCAATCTTTGCACATCTTCCAAACATCCCCACAACACATGTCCCGGTGTCTCCCCAGGGCCGCCTCCAAACTCCTCCCGTTGGATCACCTCTTTCATCACTTGCCTTGGTGCGAACGCTGTGTTTCAGGCAGGCTATGAGGCCATATTCTGTCGAACAAGCGATCTATTTAAAATCATATATATATATATATAGGTGTGTGTATGTGCATATGTGTGTATATATATAATATTATATATATATGTGTGTGTGTCCTCCTGTCCATCTGCGTACTTTCTCTCTACATACATAAAGACCACAAGATAAATATAGATCAGTGAATATGTATATTTTAAAAATATTTATATAAACTACGTATTCATCCCTGGGTCAGAACAGATTAACAGGCTGCTGCCCTACCGGTTCTTGGAGTTTCCTTCCAGGCATTCATCAGTATTCATGAACAATGCATCCCAGGGGGTAGAAAACGAGCATTGTAACCAAGTATAAAAGCTAATAAAGGTTAATAAAGGATGAATCCTTCCACATTTGTGGGCACATCTCGATATTCTCAACTTATCCGATCAGAGTCATGGTGAAATGATGATAATGATGAGCATACATCATGAGCAAAGCAGAGTTGTGACCACTACCGATGGTATCAAATTGTTGGATTCAGAACAATACAAATTACATATCGTGGTAAAATATCAAACATGCCATGTGAAATTCAGGTTGCTGAAATGACTGGAAGTCCAGTAGCGCAAAGAGTTCATCCGTGACCACTTCGCAACCTGAGATTCACATCTGACCGTCAAATATGGTCAAATGATCTGTGAAAAAATCCCCAGGCCCAACACTCACATTTGAATGTGCCTGGGGCAGCATACTGAATCATACACGGCAAATCCACTGCGCGGCATTGTCAAAATGAGCATCTACACAGGACATGCTGAGCCATGCTGAACCATGCTGAAACATAATGTCAATCAGAATGGATTGGCCCGGATTGTGCCCCTGGCATCAGCAGGCATCCAAGCAACTGGCAGAGGTGTACCTAAGAAGCGAAGGACACGGCATAACAATACATGGAGCACCATACCTGTACTGGTGAATGTATGGCATGTTCACCTTCTCAAGTAATTATATGAAACGAACAGGCATTTAGGAGAGGCTTGACGCCCAACGGTCGCCACCCTGGCACTCTCAACCTTCACTATGGGGGTGGTTTTTTTTCGGTGCCGGATCATACAACAGGGTGACCTTCCAGTTACAATAACCACAGAATCAGTTGGCTCATAGTTTGCAGCCCTTGTTAGTTTATATGATCGTCAAACGCCTACTATTCCCAAGGCCAGGTGGGGGCCGACCAAGCTGCAAATCCTCTGAGTTCTTGGCCTCTTTCAATGCAGCTTCCAACATTTGCAAAGAACTATCCTGACAAACTGAGCTGGCAACAGCTGTGTCAATAACATGCAGACACACTGATACATCATTAGATGATATATTATATATATATTAACATATATGATAATTATATATATATGCACCACCAGACGGTAAATATAAATATACATATATATATATACATATCATATCATGCACAATAGAAGTTTATCCGCCAATTTCACTGTCTACTACATCTTTCCCGGTCCAAGCTCATGTCCAATCTATCCTATCTGCTCACAAGTTCTGGGCCATGCAGTGCTTCAGTCCTGATAGACTGAACAAAAGTCAGCATTGCCAAGGGATTTTCTCGTGCGATTCATTTTCAAGCAACAAGTAGGGCTAATTATCCGTGTCTTGGTCTTTGAAGCCCTTTAGTCTTGGGTTTAGATGCGTTTAGTCTGCCACGCATAATTATTCAATATCTGCTAAGTTGAACATGTCCACATGTTGTGTTTTGTTTGTGTTCCCCTGCTTCGAGCCACACCCGTTGGGGGTTGTCTCCACATTTTTTTTGCCCCAAATAATTGCCATGGCCTATAACAACCAGTTCCACATTCAAAACAGCTATGTGCTGGTATACCCCCCTGTTTGAGCAATCCCAATTGCTCGACCCATTAGATCCAAAATATTCTTGGTATATACAACTTGATATATCCAATGATGTCCCATTTGTTCAATGGCCATTCCAGGAAACCAAATTGGAGGTACCTACCATATATAAGGCCTATGTAAGGACATACCCCCAAAATATGGCCTTAATTATATGGTACAGTGCTTCCATTTTAAGATCCTGGATTTCCCGTTGATTTGTGGGACATGTCTTCACGTTCCTGATCCATGCAATGCATCAGCACTTGTCAAGGGTCGTGGCTACGAAGAAATGCCTCCAGAAAGTCCTGCGGCTTATGAGCAGTTCGCTATAGAAAGTTGATGAATATGATCATTTTTTTCATAGGGACATATACTTTCATGGGTAATTTTCAATGGCAAACGGTCTCAAATTACCAGAGAGTATATCAATATTCGTCTTACATTCCATCAAATCCACCATTGTTGGTGGTTGCATCACCATATTTGTTCATGTTCAGTAATCTCCAAATTGTAGGTATATATTCCTGTTATGGATTCTAGTCTCCAATTTTAAGCAGTCATCCCAGCCATCCCTTGGGGTCACTAAACTGTATCATCAACATGGCTTGGCTAGTGGTCGTTTCTCATCTGCCAGCTTTTCCCGTTTGCTCCGTAATGACCTATGAACCTGGGAGAATAACTATAAGCTTTGGCACTTGGGAGATCTTGAAGTTAAGAGTCATCAATCATTGTGGACAACCACAGCTACTCATATGCGTTGTGAACTTGACAACTGACCATGGAACATATTTGAGCTGCGAACCATATTTGTTACATAACGCAATTGACGGGGTGTTCCTACCTCGTTCTCCAGTCCCGTAACGTTTTTGCCTACCTCGTTCTCGGGGTGTTCCTACCTCGTTTTACAAGCTAAATATGATGTTTTTGACAAACCGGGTACGCCCGAATACTACTTTCCATATACGCAAATAAGAGCCGTCGCTCATTTGAAAGTCATAGTGTGACAGTCACAACATAAGTCATCGAGACACCAACGTTTTGACCCTTTCTGAATATATCTGGTTGGAGGTTTCAAACCCCTCTGAAGAATATGAGTCGGACTGAGTCGTTGGGATTATTGTTCCCTATATGGAAAATAAAACTGTTCCAAACCACCAACCAAATATGATCGTAGACTGGTTGAGCCGTGCCCCCAAAAACTTGGCAGGCCCTGGTGATGATGGGCTTAAGCACATAGATTCGACCAAAATCGCTGGGCCATCGTGATTTCCTCTGTAAATATAAAAAAAAAGTGCACCAATAGACTGACACAATTACCAATTTCAAGCATTTGACCATCCCAACCTCTCCATGATTTGGAACTTTACATCTATCCACAAGTGGCGCCTAGTTTTAGCACCTGGGGATATGAGATTTTTCCAACCGATCCCCTTTTTGCCTCCAATTCCTGGCGGAAGTTTCGATGAAGACTATGGGCTTCATGACTCATCTCTCCGTCTGGGCGAGCGAAGCTTTTCCAGTGCGTTCTTGCGAAGCGTAGAACGTGATCGTGAAAGCAATTACCTTGGGATATACGGAAAAGCAGTGAGTCTGAAGTGAACAACTGTTCAAAACTGGTAAATGAGTAACGCTTGGTGGATGAAGATTTGATGTCCATAGTGAAAAACCTATCAGTGCTATCCAACGCTATAGGTTGTCTCATAAACCATTAGTGATGGATCGACTTCTTAAAAAAATTGCTCCTGCCAAGCATGGGGATGGTGCTGAAAAAATGAACCGGTGCTTCAACAAAATGAAGCCACCAGCCAATCCTATGGAAAATCCTCTTGGCTGGCGACATCAATCAAGTACACACACACACATATATATATAGAATCATATATATATATGTATATATATGTATATATATAGAACCATATATATATAAATATAAATAGATATATAAATAGATATATAAATATATATATATATATTAAAATATTATGCGTCTATATATCGCATATATATATATATTATTATACACGTTAATGCATGTGTTTATATAATGTATATACATACACATACATGCACATTATGTTATACATTATACACTCAACCGCCACCCGTGACTGCTTTTTGTCGGCGAGGCCTAACATTCCTGGTTTGTTCTATGCTCCTTGAAGTGCCAAAAAAGATCTTAGCTTCTACACTTCGAAACCAAACTCACAATCAGTTTAAGCTGCATAATGTATGTGAATGGCACTCTGGAAGACATGATCCCTAGATGTTCCAAATGAGTTTGGCTCACTAATCTGGTAACTTGTAATTTGGGACCTGGGACAATAATTTTGCGCAATAACTGCAAACATGATGACTAAATGATGGTTGAAAAGTCACACACTGCAACATCCAACAGGTCAACTGGCAACTTGTTCAACATGGTTCTGTTCAATTTCAGACTCCTCATAACATGCTTGGAACAACGAACCACCAGCACGCCCCAAATGTAATCTCACTCCTTCAAGCCACCCTTCAATAATTAAACTCTTGAGAGTTAAGTGTTCCTACAGAAATCTGATGAAATCTCATGGGGTTACCCGAAATCTCAGGCTAGATGCTTTGCCAATGCCACTGGCTGAAGGCTTCCACCAGCTCCAGACCCTGCATCCCATTGGTCGCCACGGAAGCTACGAGAGGACGGTCAATCATGGCGCCATGCGCGTTCGGTGGTGCACAGTTAGTAATTGGTTTATAAGTTTATAGCCCCCACTAGACACACACACATATATATATATATATATACATACACAAATTCGATATGCATATAATTTTAAACATCATATATATATAGAAACTTATAACATAATGATGTCAATTGATGTCATAAGCCATAGTGGGGCTGCAAACCAACTTAGCTAACTACCCAGCAGCACCTTGCAACAACATGCAAACCGCCAACTCCAAAAATCTACCCCAACTCTTATCCATATCATGTCTGGCACAAACAAGCTTTTCTGCGCATGTACTTCGCGGACTACAAGCCAGCTTCTGCCACTGGAGCTTGGATGATATGGCGGAAGGCTTGGAAATCCTGCGTTGCAAGTGGGCTCACATTGCCTTTTTTTGTTTGCGGCAGTTCTGAGCAATCATATGAATTATCATTATTAATCATTCATAGTAACCATCCATCATCCGGAAATATCCAGAATCATTTTCTCGGAAAGAACCAACAAAAAACTGATTAAAAACATCCACATCATGCCTAGCTTATCCTCAGTGGTGAAGCTTTCAGCTACAGCTGCGTTTTGCAGCTGCCCTAGCTACAACCATGCAGGGTGGCACCACGCCTTTCGCCGCAACGTGACCTTGCGGCCACGCTGCGGCCCCGGGTGCTCTGGGCATTGGCTCCTTTTGAATTCAGCGGAGGTTTCCAGCCGCAGGCGGGAACGACAAGCGCCAAAGATGTGTGGAATACCGTGACACACGACAGTTGCCATCAGGAACCCCCTGGATGTAACCTTTGGGTGGATTAGTTGGGGGGAACCCAAACCTAAAAATACCATGCTTTTAAGGGTGACCATTTTTAAACTTTTGGTCCAAAGTGCCTCCTACTACATGGTATTGTGTTACAACCTCCTTGCCCCCACATGCATGTCGAGCCGTTTCAAGGTGCCGCTGATCAACGTCGACCTGGAAAAACCCGCTTGCTTGGAGGGAAATCCAAATTCCTCAGCTGCAAGACCCTCAGAGGCAGGGCACAAGAAGTGCGTCGCCAGACTATAGCAAAAATTGGCAAAACAGATTCTTGTACCAGTTTCAACCTAGGAAACTGCAAGCCTATGTACAAGATGTAGCTAATATCTGTTTATCTGTTTATCTGTTTGGGATCAATTTTGGCATACACATGAATTACACCTTACATACCATACATGGATGATTGGGGAGGTTGTCCGAAAAATACATCCAAATTTCATTGTTTTCGAACTGTTTAGAACATGTTCGGGCATCCTTCATTTTTTAACAAACTCATATGTAATCGTGTATGGGTCATAACACAAATGTGGTCTAAACCAACAGTCACTGGGTCGCTGGAGCCTAAACCCATCTCCTTTTCGCCATCCAAAAAAACAAGAACAACAAATCCAGAATCCCCATGATTCTCTTGACCTTTCTGAACAGATTCTGGGGTGTGACATATTTTTGTTTACTGTATAAGTCTGTACGAGTTATAAGGCAAGTTTCACAATTTCCGGGCCCCGCTCGTAGGTGAAGTGATCCTGTGCCGGTGCTCCGCTGGATGCTCCCACGTCATTCTTGTAGATCTGAGCCTGGAATGCTGCAGAAAGGCCTCATGAAAAATGGAGGTTTGTAGCTAGTAAAATCATAGGAGAATATAGGCACATGATGGCACATGTGGAAAATTTGCTGTAAATGTATGTAAATGTGCATTTAGATTGGTAATTGATCAAACTAAATTTCAAACAATGGGACAATTTCTAGCAAACCATGTAGCTGATTACACCAGAGGGTCTGTTTCTTCTCACACGACTTGCCACTGAACCAAGTTGAGACTTGATTTCTGTTCACCTGTCTTGACATCTGCCGGAGGTAAAGTTGAGCAAAAAATGACAGATAGCCTAAGATAGACCCTGAGAATTATAGACATAGGACGGTAATCCTCCAACCCCCTGTCTCCCAGGGTCTAAGTGTAGTTGGCGGAATGGATGAGACACTACATCCACATTTCTATGGCATGGCTTTTTCAGCTGAACGAGCCTCACCACGATCGCGCGCGGACTGCAGGATGCCCTTGTCGTTGTAGCCGAAGAGCCGGCTATGTCTGGTACCAGCCACCTGCATGCCCCCGGCGGCCCGGCGGTGTTTTTTTTATGCCCCAGGTTCTGTGGACGACGGTTGTTTGTTAATGATAAGATGCGATTGCATATTGATCCGTCTTGTTGACTCCATATTCTCCATATGTATACTGTATATATATATATATACCTTCGTATTTGCCTGTCACATTACTGTGCCCTCCGGGCTTCTGCCAACACTGCATGGGACCCATTCTGGGAACAGGAATGCTCTCCATTTCCTCCTGTGACTGTTGGCCCTACAGTGATCTACAGTGTCTTTGGCGCCAACGCTTGGCAAATAGACACGCCTCGAAGGAGATGCAATAAACATGAACAAAAAAACATCTATTAAAACATATGCCACTCCCCAAAAAAGTTTGAAAGATTGACATTTCAGAAAATTCAATCCCAAAATGTTTCTGCCAGACTCTGCTAGTGCTTCTCAGCAACAATGGCTCCAGAAAGTCTCAAAGTAATGCGGTGAGCATGCGATGTCATCCCTCCATTTCAGGACACATTAGGTTTTCAGCTAATGAACAGCGGGATCAGCATTGCATCAATGTTTTGTCGACCCCTCACAGACGTCTAATTCTTGGGATACTTGTACGGAAAACCCAGCTATGCATTCCGAATATCCCATGTGAAATTCACTGTAAATATCTGCAGTGTATGGGTACAACCCATCCCTATCTTCCTTTTCCAGTCCCAGGGCCTCCAGCAAAGTCCCCCACCGTGCCTCCCCACAGCCATCCGTCTCCGCATCGGGCGGCAAATGCACGTTGCGACCACTGCGCCGCAGCGCCGCTTTGGTGCTGCGCGGGTCTAAGAGCTCGGTAAAACGCCCGAAGACCGAGCTGCCGTACCTTGCTGTGGAGTGTTTAAAAGCGAACAGGGTTGAGGTATGGTTAATACAAACATTAGGCAATGTATATGTACGGCCAAACACCTCGTCTTGCCCGCGCCTGTTGGCCCGCCTTCTTCGTATGAGCTGAAAACGTGGTTAAAAATTGGATAATTTAGCATTATGGTTAACTTGATATTCTAGATCAGAACGCACAGCAGAGGGACCTGTGCGGGTTCGTTCCACCACATCATCATCATCATCATCATCATCAATGAAGATCTTCAACGAATATAGAAGTTTAACCCCAATGGGAGAATTAACCCTTATTGAAGATCTTCAATGAATGTAGAAGTTTAACGGGGGTGGAAGAATTAAACCCGCCCTTATTGAAGATCTTCAATAAATGTAGAAGTTTAACGGGGGTGGGAGAATTAAACCCTTATTGAAGGTCTTCAATGAATGTAGAAGTTTCCCGGGGGTGGGAGAATTAAACCCTTATTGAAGATCTTCAATGAATGTAGAGGTTTAACGCGGGTGGGAGAATTGAACCCTTATTGAAGATCTTCAATGAATGTAGAAGTTGAGCGGGGGTGGGAGTATTAAACTCTTATTGAAGATCTTCAATGAATGTAAAATGAATGTAAAGTTTCACGGGGGTGGGACTTTTATATTCCCTAATACCATTGTTGATCTTCCCAAGACAAGAAAGGTGCGGGCGAAACGGGGTGTTCGCGCGTATATGTACAATATGTGTATATATATATATTTATATATTCGTTATATATCTGTATATATATAAAACACATTGTATATCTATACATGTCTAAGTAAAAAAACAAGAATAATGACATATAATTAAAGATGTTGATGCTGCTGATATCTGCTGATGATGATTATTTTTATTATGAAAACTAGGCCGGGCTTTAAAGCGGCATTTAAACAACAAGAAACTGATTTAACCAGCTTTGGTTTGGTGCTTGAGCCGCTCAATCTGTTTAAACCGCTTGGCTGCTTGGAAAACTATCGAGCCTGGTGGTTCAGGCGCCCGCTGCGAAAAATATATGATACTCCTCGATGATACTTGATGATAATCTTCTGAAGATCCTACTTTATCGTGCTTGTTGGATCTTGTTGGAACGGAAAGCGATGACCAAACAAATGCCAACAGATCCCCCCTACGGGGGAAGCTGCAGGGATGTGAAATGGATGATCAACCGAAGACCATGGAGATGGACATGGCGTCTCTGTTGTTAGACAGATATCTGTCATCTGTCCATTTCCTACCAAGTTGGGGACCACCCCAGTTTTGCACTTCGGGGTTTTCACTCCCCTGAAAAACATGAGGGTCATGTTGCGTAGTCATAATCATCCCATTTTCGGAGCAGAAAACCAGAGCACTAAACAATCACATCGTTTTACCAATGAAATTCAACTTGGATTTGCTCGAGGCCCCCTCCCAAAAAAAACAACACATACTATAGATGTTATAGATTCCCCATGGTTCCCCAAATGGTGTATGAAATTCCCTGTGGAATTTTGTCATTTCAAATCGCCTTCAACAAACCCATAAAATCAGAAGCAAAACAGCCTCGTCAAGATGCTGGCCCCAAAGATCGGGTTCCAAGACGGGGCGGGACTGCGAGTGCAACATGTCTAACGGAAAGCTGGGCTGCGGCTGCGACCCTGTGATCGCCAGATCAGCTTCCTAACGTGGGAAATGGATGCAAATGGGCGGTGAGAAATATGGAAAGTATGGGCAAAAACGTTTCAAATTTGGGGGTGGCATTTGCTATATTAGGGATCATATACAATGCATGCAATCATATACATGTGACTGAGTGAAAATCATTGGCATTCACTATGGATGGTTTGCTTAGTCAAAATGAGACAACAACATGTGCTGGCTTGGGGGGTGCCAAACATTTGACCCAAATCGTTGCAAGTGGCTTCATAAACACCCAAACTAGAACCCATCGACCGGTTCCATGCGGCAAAACATGCCAAGTTGTAAACCTCCCTTCCCAATGCAAATACCTCTGATCAGATGAGTGTTGGTAAGGGATCTCAAAAAGAATGATTCCAATCCCATGGGATCCATGTATGCTACATATGGTAGCATTTACCATCAATATACCCTAAATGTTAGCATATATACCATACATGGATCCTATGGGAATACCGATCCAGCATTTATATGGGGGGTATTTCGTTACGGGGCCGTCAGCATCGACACCAGGATTCGGTCTGGAAGGATTTCTCCGAAGCATTCTGCACCAGTTGACGCTTGGCTGGGTCCTGGTCCGGTGAGCGGTGAAAAACCACAACTCTTGGAAGTGCAGTTCCTGTGACAAGTTATGACAGTGGATAATAGTGGATATAGTGGATATATAGTGGATATATAACTTATATGATCATAGCTATAGGCGATAGGCGTTTTTATCCCAACTTATGATGGCTAGTAGCCATTTCCAACCTAAACTCCTGCCATGGTCTTGCCCGGGTCCTTGGTGGTGTCCACATAGAGCTTGATGGATGGGGCGTCCAAATTGAAGCTGGTCATGGGCTTGATCTTGTGGCGGTTCATGTGAAAGAAGGCCTGGTGAGTCTGGTGAGCTGACCCTGGTGGTTTTCTCCAAGCAAGCTCCGCTCGAGGTCCGCTCGACATACCCTCTGGTAATGACTAACATAGCTATTGAAAATTGCCATTTATAGTGAGTTTTCCCATTAAAAATGGTGATTTTCCATAGTTATGTTAGTTTTCCAAAGGGTATGACAAGAAATCTGCCATAACTGGGGTAACTGGCCTTCTTCGCCACCGGGCCGAAAACGTTCTTGTCCCAGTCCAGGTAGTGTTTCGATACGGTGGCCTCTCCTGGTTGACGACTGGATGACTGGATACCCGGCCTGGTAAACTAACAAAAAGCTATGGAAAATCACAATTTTTTATGGGAAAACTCACTATAAATGGCCATTTTCAATAGCTATGTTAGTTTACCAGAGGGTATTTTGGATGGGATGTCAATGACTTCAACTTGGATGCAGGACCAGGCTGAGTAAATGTCAGCCATGGCATGAATGCTGAGATGAGCCTCATGCAGGCCGCTGAAAAGGTCGTTCTTGATGGTACGAGCTGTTGCCCCGCAGTCTGTTTGTTGCTTTATAAACCCCATGAACTTTCCAAATTTCTACTACCCTCTGGTAAACTAACATAGCTGTTGAAAATCACCATTTCTAATGGGTAAATCAACTATAAATGGCCATTTTCAATAGCTATGTTAAATTACCAAAGGGTACTTGTACTCTTATCCACCATAAATTCCAAGCGTTGACGTTCACAAATTTTTCTCAACCAACTTGGCCAATCAACTGGTGCACCATATTGTAGCAGGATACTCAACGACTGCTCTGCTTGAAAGGGTCACCCCGCTTCATCAAGTGTAAAGGAACCACATAAATGGCTGGAAAGATTGTAGTAGCTGGAATATGGATGCCATTGGATACCTACTCGCTCCTCATCGAAACCCTCCTAAGCACCCTGAATCGGCGCTGGCCGCTGGCCGAGCATCGATTGGCCAGAAACTCCGTCAGCTGTAGGGAGGCCTATGCAGCAAGCATCTACTCAAAGTCAGACCCTAATATTGTGGATTTGGGTTTCAAACCAGGGCAGTCAAAGTGGGCCGGTAGTCAGTACCAAAAGCGTCCAGGAAAAAAACAGCCAAAGCAAATGTGCGTGGTCTTGGTTTCCTATCTATATATATATATAAATATGGATGTAAGCATGTTTATCCCTTGCCATGTGATGTCTCCAGTACCAAGTTCTCAACACCTTTGACATGTGAGATGGAACCAAGAAGTTGCTACTTCAAATAAGCAAGAGCTTCCAATTTCCACTTACAATACTTATACAGGCTGCACATATATATACATATATATACATACATATTATATATATACTATATACATATTATATATATACTATGTACATATATATATATTATATCATATATATTATAATATTATATATATATGTTATATCATATATATATAATTACAATTGTGATCAGTTATGTCTATACTGCATATTTACGGTACACAGCGGTACAGTCCAGGTCGGCGCCTGGTAGTCCGGATTTCGGGCATTGCCTGCCGTGAGGTTTTCCACCAAGCGAGTCATCCGTGCCTGCCGTTGATCCTCTTTCACCTCCACCATGAGTCGGATGTATTTTTGATCCTCAGTTTGGGTAGGTTGACCCGGTTGCTGATGTTAGGGAAAATGCCAAGAATGACAGCTGGGGCTGTTGAATGCTGTTGACCAGCCAAAACATATGGGCTTTCCAGCAAATTCTTCCTTCAATTCAGGGAGCAGTTCTGGGAAGACAATCCCTCCTGCAAAAAATAGCCAGGTGGTGGCCATCTTCCAGTATAAGAATGGAACATGAAAATAGCTCGGCTCAACAACCCAACAAGCAAATACAGGTTGGAAAATCCACGAGATAGCCGGGTGGCTGCCGGAAGGAATATCACTTGGCAGCTAGGCCAAATGCTTGGAATTGGTCTAAGGGACATTTTACACAAACCAATTTCATGGGTTTCCCAACTATCATGTGGTTGGTAAACTCTGATTGTAGCTCTAACTGGCTCCCAATTTTACGAGGAACATAGATACCCATAGCCTTCCCAACCACCGGATAGCTAATGACAAGTTGCTCTTTCGCGAGTGGTCTCAAACTTCTTATGCTTCAACATCACGTCGTTGTACCTCTGCTCCACGGAGCCCGTGAGCGTTGTACAAATTCTGCTGTTGTGATTTCATCACATGTGTGTGTGTATATTTGCCTAGACAAACACACACACACAAATACTATAGGTGGATCTGTCTCTACAGTCATACTTGTCATACTTCTTCAGAATATATTGTCATCCCACATCATACCCCGATTACGTCCCATTATGTCACTATTTTTGCTTGGCTACATCATGTTACATCAGCATTTTTGATGGTCAAAGAGTTAAAGCACCAAACCACCAGTTGCGGCTGTAACTCCACCCTTGGTTCACCTTCCCCCCTGGTCACTTGTGCTGGGCCATGCTCTGCACGCGAGGGCCACGGGCATCGCTGAAGGCATGTGGCGAGATGTCTCCTACCTTGGGCTTCGGTGGATAGCTACGTTGGGTGGTGACGTTTCATGGTGCGGGACCTAACTTAAGGTGTAGAACGCTTATCGCGGTGGTTCATAGGCAGTATGCAGATAGAATTAATGGGGTTATAAGCCAACTTCACCACGGTATGTGAGGAAGGAACCCGGGAACCCCAAATCCAAGGGTTGATCATGGTTTATCTCTCTCTCTTCCATTTTTTAACATTGCAATGTTGGCTGCGATGATATTTACCTTGCTGGACCCAGCCCTCCCACTAAATATTGATACTGGGATGTCATCAAAAAGTGGATGCTTCTGGACTATTTTTGGGGACGGGTTTCTCTTTTTGTCTCTTGTCAGTCACAGGGCAACCTCCTTTCCCAAACAATGAGCCAACCTCTCACAGCCTAGCTTGCGCATGTCCACTCTCCATGGGCTGCCAAAGTCATAAGGCAGCTTCAACTGAATTCTCTGCTTCACGGTGACCATTCTTTTTGTTGGCTCGTCAGACTTTCATCATATATGTGACAGGGAAGCAAATGCAGGTACCCGAAAATCCCCCGAAAATCCGCTGCTTTAGCATCATTGTTCCTCTGAAAATAACCATTAGGGGGGTATACCGGTATACCCACAATTTTCGGCACACGCATTTAGAGTTCATGCTTGAAGCATCACGCAATATCATGCAATATCGGCAATAAGCCCTTGTCATAACCATAAGCCACGCTTCAGAGGAAGGTCGGCTCGAGCGTGAGCGTGAGGCCAACTGCAAGTGGGACACTCGTGTGCTGCCACTAGGGACGGTATGAGGCCGAGGGAACTTTCTCAGGACCGTCCTTGAAAGGACTTGGTGGGGTTTTTGGTGGCCATGTGCTGCCAAAAGCATCAAGTTGCCCAAGAAAATTGTGGATGTTTTAGTTAGAAAATCATATGTCATGAGTCATAATATATATCCTAGTCCTACCTTTTTCCTGGATGTTTATAGTTAGAAGATATCAAACAAGGGGACATCAGCCAACCATGGGTTGCTGGAACACTGGGTTCAGCCAAATGAAATGGTATGACCAACTCCAAACGAAGAGTCGACGATGGATCCGGTGTATGAACACGGCTTGCATCCAACATAAACCTGGGATTTGCGTATGACTGTTGATGATTTTGTCACATTTCTATCATCTATCATTTTTATATATATAATATATATATTATATCAATTATTGATTCATCGTTGTCAGCTTCATCCCTGACCCTATACCCTAAAAATCCCTCAAGCCCTACTTCAATCCCACCAGGCCGCTCCACTCTTTGCCGTCCTGTTCACCACCTGCATCCTGCCGCCACCATCTTCAGGTCCTTCCCTGGGGAGTCGCCAACCAGGGAGCTGTGGAGCCACTATGGCGCTATCCGACTGGGACCGTTGCATTGGCGCCAAACTAAGCGACTAAGCGAGCAGCGGCCCGGTTTGAAAAAGGGGTGCAGAACCAACTGGAGCTGTGAGATCTTGATCTACAAAAGAACGGGCATTCAAAGGAAAATCAAGATCACCACAAGAATCTGGAACCCTTATATGATTGCTGAGATAGAACATGCGATTTGTGAAAAAAAAACGTCTGCCATCAAATATTGCATCATCATGGCATTCACAGCATTGTTGGCTACATCAAATATCACCATTTTTGTGGGGTCCATGACATATGGCCGCTGTGCAGGCACGCAGGCCGTTGAGCCAAAATGTCGTCGAGCGAGTCGTTCTTTGACCCTGAAAACAGATCTAATTAAACGGCAAAGCGAGGGTAGAATGAAAAACAACATTTATATGATGATTGCTGATTGGTCATGTTGACCATTGATTGTGAATAAACAGGATGATGATGGTGGTGGTGGTGGTGGTGGTGATGGTTGTGGTGATGGTTCTGGTGATAGTGATGATGTTGTTGTTGCTGATGATGATAAGCAGAAATGAATGTGATACATTAGGATTTTGATTATGACTGTGATTAATAAAATGTTGACTTGATTATCATGATGAAAATTAACATGCTGATTTATGTTGATGATTAATCACTGATTTTCTCTGCTGATCTAGCTCGGTGATTTCATTATACAGTATGATGACCTATCATGTTCAAATTGTTTGTTTGTGGTGTTTTATTGGTGATGGTTTACATATTCAGATTGTTCATTCGGATGATTCATACTGATGAATGGTTTATCATGATGATTCATTCTGTCTTATTTAAATCTATGAAACATAGTCTTAGCATGTCTTAGCGTGATGCTGTGATGTTAGTACCGTGGGTTGCTTCACACCAAGGGGCCGCGGATGCGTGAGGACAATGGTCCAAAATAGCCGGTGGGATACAGAAGAACCTTGCTGCGGAGATTTTTCGGTGGTTAAAAAAACATCCTGAAATATATGAGTTCGTCAATGGGAAGGATGACATCCCATATATAATGGAAAATAAAAAATGTTCCAAACCACTAACAAGTTCAGAATCTTGGGGCTCTTGGGTCAGAATTTGTTCAGTTTGGGAGCAGACTTCGAACGCTAGGAGAGCATTGAAAAATTGAACCGAGGGAAAAGAAAGAACATCAGCGGATTCCCCAAGTTCAACAATAATCAATTGGACAATCTTTCAGCCTCGTGGTCCCATTGTATGTGAACTCTCTACTGCACTGGATGTACACATCCCGCTGAAAAATGGGATGGGTCAAGCTGAAAACCATTGAAAACCAACATATCAACATGGGACCCATTAACCCAAACATATTATGAACAATGTTTTAGTTTTGGTGGGATCTCTCTCCATCGCAGTTTTGGTGGGCTACCCCTACTGGTCCTCCGAGCCGCCGAGGACTTTTCATGTTCTAAGCAGTGGGGCGGTGGGGCGTTACTCTGTTTGGTTTCATTCTGAATCAGCGTCTAAATACGTCCAAGCTTGATTCGTTCACCATACATGTATGTATACTATGAAACTCTACTCTTGTATAACCCCCAAGTAGAATCTGGCCTTATATTAATTAGTACATATTGGGACAGTACCTCCATTTAGGATCCTGAAATCCCCATTGGATTTGAATATATTGTACTAATATCCAATATTAGGAGAAATCCTCCATTGGAGGTACTGTACCATATTGTTTAGGATCCATTTAGGAAAAAAGAAACCACACCAAAATATGCCAAAGTCAACGCATCTCAGCAACTGCCACCACCGCGAGGGCCACCAAGGTTGCGATCGACATCCTCAGTGACCCCCTGACAGGTCTTCCACATGTGAAAATGGCGAAGATGTCGAAGATGGTCGAAGTAAGCAGCTGGTAAATGGAAAAGCCACCTAATTATGGTAATTAATATCGTAACATATTACTATAAAATACTATAAATCATATTACCAGCTGGTACATGGAAATTGGCTGGTAAATATGATTTAATTATAGTATATTATAGTAATTAATTATGATAACAACAACAATATGAAACAACTCTTTATGGACTTGTTTTCGCGGCTTCATTGATATATATATATATATATACCCAATGGGATGATTGTCTGGCTGATTCATCGTTGAATTTCTTGGTTCCGAGGGGCATTGAATTTAAGTTGGACTCGTGGTTATAACCCTCCAATTCAACCAGTTGTAATATCATGTTGGATGAAATGATTGAAACCCATTGAAACATATCGAAAGCACCTTTTGCCTGTTGAAGTCTGCTGAATCATCATCTTTCACAACTTGAAGTATGGGGTTTAATATAAGATTCATTCTTCATTTCGGGTTGGCTCAAAATCTGAAACCCTCTGTCATTGAAATCCCTTGCTTTGATGTATCATCAGTTTTCGCCGAAAAAACTGGCGAAAATGATGCCATTTGGAGGTTCTTCCCCCTGGATGAAGGCATTCATTGCTTCCAAGGTACAAGATTCGTAGCTTTACGAAGTCCCAGGTGCTCAAGTTCTTCTTGCGACGTTGAGAGTCGCAGAAGGCGAGCACCTTGGACAAAAACATGTCATGAAAAGAAATGAGATGTCATGCTGGTGATATATATAATGATATGAGGATAAGTTAAATATCATTTCTCATGACATATGGTCATATAACATCAATTAACATCATTAATATCACCTTAATGTTGGTGAGATCAGCTGGGGATATATGAGATCTGATGAGATATGGGTATGTATGATGTAATGGGATACATGATCACAAACACTACGTATAAGTATTGAGTGTGTTTAATGTAACTATGGGGCAATTTTCCCCACATGGCAATGGCAGCCTAGCAATTTGGGAGGAAAATGTTGCCAAACTACACCCAAATGGGGAGTGTTGGAGCCCGGGTATCGGGGTATGACTTGTTTTTTCCCCTCAGATTTAAGTACCCATAGAATCCATGTATGCTATATATGGTAACATGGATCCCATCAATATACCCCATTCATGTTAGCATTAATATACCAGCACCATGGATCCGTCATGGGGTATGATAATGGTTCATAATTCACCAGAAAGGTCGTGACTTGGGGATGATTCCCAGTAAAATATTCACCATCAGCGACGCGGTGAGGTCATCCGTGGGGGTTTCCACCAATGGTGGTGGAGCACCTCCAGTCACGTCAATTTAAGTGGCTTTTCGATTGTTACTTCTCTTCACTGACCCCGAAAAACAGGAACATAAGTAATAATAAGCAGCATAAGATCATGACTTCCGCATAGACATGATAATATATCGGAATATATCTCGAAAATGAGGCCCCATGATTTTTTAGAAGCCAGGCCATGGCAAAATCCATGCAGATTCACCCGGAGCCTGGTAGCCGACAAAGACCAAGAGGGGGCCCATTTGTTCCTGCAGCCGAAAATACGGCACCGAAGCCAGGAAGAAGAAGAAGCGTGTTGGAGGAAAATCCCCATCATTCACCATTCCTCATAACATCAGTGAATGACCCGCTTGCAACACCTGATCCGAAAATTGGGTGCCCCCAAATCCCCAAAGTTAACATGCCAGGTCGAAAGGAGGCTAACACTTTCCATGACCAATCTTAGATAGCATGTACCACGAAAGATTCAAGTATCAAAATTTGTCCATCCATGGCTTACCCAGAGTTCTAGTGGTTTTACATGGTTTTAAGGGGACATCATCCACTGGATCCCATACATAATCACCCACTAGCTACCACTAATGTGAACTAATGTGCGGAAAAGATCAGATTCAGGAACAATTGAAGCAATAGAATCCTCATAATTTCTGTGACTCTAGTGGTTTTTACAGGAACATCATCCAGTTCACCAGACGCATCCATGGCATTCCATGGCATGGACCATGGTCCCTGGTGAACCAAGTGTCCAAGGAGCGAAGCGGCTGCATTCCTACGACAGGAATTTGGATGGCCCCGTACGTCCCGACGATGAAGAACAAGGAATAGGCCCTGGGGGAGTTGGATGGGATGATTTTTTCCCAAAAAGTGAGGGCTTGACATGGCTTGACCATCAAAGATCAGGGCTTTGATCTGGTGTATCCGCATCAGGAGACAAATAGGCAATACATGGTATTTAGTGGAGTCTCTTCAAGGTTTGGGACCCCAAGATTTATAGATCCACTCAACAAACAATTTCTAAGCGGTATTGCTCGGGTGACGCCAGGAGGCTTGTGCACGCCACTGTTGAAGCGACCCTGTGCCACCAGGATCAAGGCATGAACGCCGATCATGTTCAGAACGAAGATGTAGCCTGGCAGCTGCCAAACTCAGCAATTATCCACAATTCATGATGAAAAAATTCGAAAAACCACCGTTTGTAGTGTTTTCTAGAGTTTTTAAATAAGTGTGGGTTTGCAAAACCACCATCTAGGCACATCAACGAATACACACATATCATATAAACCAATGTTTTTCGAAACAGGTTCAATGGTTTAGTCTAAATTTGTCTATATAACTGAGTGCGGGAACACAAAATATACCAAATGGATCCAGATTGTGTAATCTCTCAGAATGAGCTGTCCGGTCAACCAGCCTAGATGCAACTGAGGTTCATTCATTCGAGGTTGACATGAAAGGGGGTATCGTTCTACACTGGTCAGTGAAAAAAACCAAACGCAGTTCAACTGCAGATAGGAAATTTGATTTGTTTCCAGGCTGCAGATTGCGAACACATTGTTTTCTTCTTGGTGCAAATAAATATGGTTCCAGGCAGCACCTCCCCAAGCCGCCACCATGTTGATATAGGAGAGCCCCGTCAAGATCCCAATGGGCCAATGCTTCGGGCTGCGCACCTTGCCACGTTGACCACAATGGGTCGGAAAATATGTTTAAAAAAAACGTGAGAAGTTGATGAACCCCTTGTTTTTTTGGTTCTGTAACTTTTTAATGAAATTTGAGCTGCACCTAGCATCTGTTTGTCCACTCCCCTAGTCATCCTTTTGGGAGCTCCAAAAAACGTCACCAAAATACCAAAGCAAAGATGGGTTATAAACCACTTATTATAGTCAGTTAACCAACTCCATGACCAACCTAAGTATGGTTCACTATTGAACTTCCGAAACCATTTGTACGGAGCCGATTTCCAGGTACACGTCGAGGCACCGAGAGTAACCAAAGCCAAAACCTCAGTGATTTGGGTTGGTGGCTTCAATCCATCCCATCACTTGCATGTGTACATATGACTATATATGATGACACAATATGACACATATATCATTTAAACAGCACACATGTTCATACATAAATATACACCACATAGTGATATGTTTATGTATATATATATATATGTATGTATATGTATCTTTGGTTAGTTATGCTGAACTTGTGGGAGGCAACAAACAGTCAAACCACCAACCAGAAGCCATTTTGAGAATTGTCAGCTCCAAAGGCTGCAATCCCACTGGGGTGGGAGACTGATGAGCCATCGGTGATTGTTGTGGGTCAGGATGATCCAAATGGTTTGTGCAGGTCTCATCCACATTATCCACATGTCAGCATTGGATTTGAATTCAGCCAATGCACACATGATGAATCACTTACTGGTGCTAAACGCAGGGAATTTTCGGGAATGATCCATAATCACACATATATATATATATAATCAATATCAATAATCATCCCAGCAGCCCCCAGCAACCCATCCATTACCAAGCACCAATAAGATCAGTACTGTCATTCCATCCCAACATCGAAGGATCCTATAGGATCTGGCACCAGTAGGGCCCATGACTTCCATGGAAGTCACGTCATGACGATGGCCGTCATGGCAACCGCCTCGTTGTCAAACTTGCCTCGCCGCATGGATGGTCCAAGATTCTGCACGAAAGCTGCAAAGCGCAAAGGGAGCTGGGCGCACCAACAATGACAGAATACATCATATCCCCAAATGTCAGATATGTACCTCCCAATGAAACCATGGTGGAATTTGAATCTATACATCTTGGGGTCCCTTGTTCGCCTTACTAGGGCTCGCCAATATTGGGGGTGGGTGAATTGGCGACGCAAATTTGATCTGAGTGCATAATCTGAAGAAAATGAATATGATCATGTGAGCGATCTTCTTTCTTTCTAAATTTTGGGTCGCCTGCTAATAATTCCAAAAATAATTTCATCGCGCTGCTCTTGGATCATGTTTCTGGCAAAAAATGATTACAGTAACCTATCAAGCAAAAATGTAGCTCATAATTCCCTTCATGACATACATTGGCTCGCCATTGGGATCTCTTTTCAATGGAGCGTTGCATGTTGGGTCTGAATATTTGGTCCACTTATCACTTAGAATGCTAAAAACCACGGTATCACCATCCCGGTTTTCCGCACCCCGAGCGCTCAAGGTACCACCCACTGAGCGCATGATGTGGGCTGGGATCACTGCCATAATGCCCGTAGCCTGTCAAGTGCTTGGTATCGGTGTTGATCCATGCTACACCCCTAGATGCCCAGTGCATGTTTATACGGGTATATATATATATATATATATTATAGAATCTAGAATTATATGTATATTATATTTTCATGTGTGCATACATATACATATATATGCGTTTTTCTATCTATTTGTATTTACAGTTGTATGTATACCATATATATTCATGTATGTGTAAATATGAATAGGTTTGGAACATGGAAAAACAGAAAAAATATATAAAAAATAAGTATATGTACATATAGACAAACAAACACATACAAATATAGATAGGTGAATATTTAGGCAATCAAATACTTTTAAAACATAGATAGATGTATGCTTAAATGATAGAAATATCTAAATCTATACAGTCGGTATATTTACGTATAGAGGGTTGATGCTATCAGACCAGCATGTTTAGGAAACTATACCAACCACACCAACTAATACCCACATAGATCAAATGTATCGTGGGTTTGATATACATTCCGAGGCAACTCAGTGACCTTTCATAGGGACGACAAAATTCTGAAAAATGAATGGGCGTGGCTGAGTTCGTCCGGAAGTACCTACATGAATCGAAAGCAATGAATAAGCATGACACGTAAGCTTCATTTAAAGCAGATGTATAGTCATCCTCAAAAATATTGAAAAGTAAATCCCCACTAAAAAGTGAAGATTAACTGTTCTATCTTTTTTGGGGTTACTTCAAGGGAATACCCTTAAAAACGGTGACCTTACATACAGCAACTCCAGGCATCTGGCACGGCGACCATGGAGCTTCAACTTCGGAGGCTTCCCCTGCTTTTTTCCGTCTTCAAGGTCCCCCAAACAAATCTGAATTTCCTCCAGAAGTCATCATGTTTCTATTGATAATGAACATTAATCATTCTGAAGCATCATTAACTATTAACTATTAACTAATAATGGTATATAATGGTTAACAAATATTGACCATTATTAACCATTCATAGTTTCTATTGATATCATGAATAGTTCTATGAACAATTATTAACCATTATGAACCAATTCTATTAACTAACCCGAAATCAACTGCATCCGTCTTCGCAGGCGCACCATGAGCCCCGCATTGACGCTGCGGGAGATCTCATAGGCCAGGAGTCCAGTGAAGATGGAAGCCTTCGGCGTCTGGCTGCGCTCATGATGTCATGTAAATGTCATGTACATAAGTAATATATATATATATCTATATATATCTATCTGGTTGGTATACCTACCTATTGAAAAATATGAAAGTCAGTTGGGATGATGAAATTCCCAAGATATGGAAAAAACAAATGTTCCAAACCACCAACCAGATACTGTATATATAACTCGTATATGTATAGGAAGCTCCAAAACATCGATTTTTCATCACTATAGGATTGGGTTGCTTCTTCTCTACATAGATTAAGTTATAGAGTCAAATCTTATGGGTATGAATGACATACAGCAATGAATGTAAATTGATAAATGAGGCAAACCACAATAAACATACTATAATGTAAACATATGTACATATACAGTAAAACTATATATATATATATTTCTGTATGCATCCTAATGCTTCATACCATATGTCAGACATGTCAGCAAAGCATAGTCAAGCTAGGAAACAAAAACGCCATAGAACTGGTAGGGAGAGACCAATGTTTCGGGCCATAACAATCATTGGGACTTGAAGCATACAATGCAACCTGATGCTGAGGGCACACTGAGTACAAACTCAACTCAACATAGTTTGCCATACTTGGTAGCCCTGTGAAAAGAATCACCTGCGCCTTCTGTTCGTTTGCGGATCAACTTCCACCGAGGAACAGTGGATCCAAACCAGGGCGGAATCATACAGCAAATGTCGTTCACGCTCATGGGCCCGATCTGGATACGAGACCTGGATGGCCAGCGTAACGCACGGCTGTTGCACATGATGTGAAGCCCACAAGGCCACTGCTACGGGCAAGAATTGTAAAAGGGAGAAAATCAACCAAAAGAAAACTGAAAAACATTATATTTTCAAGTAAGAAGACTTGGCCACCAGAAACAAAACCAGAATAACAGCAGCATGAGGTGTGGAAGCCCTGCCACTTCTGCTGTCAAGTCGCTTAAGCGGTGAAGGGATGAACAACCAACCGTTCCTGCGGTGCGGTTGTTCAATGTGAGGGCCAGGGCCACATGTCTTTTGGAGAGGTAAACTACCTTTTTGTTGCAGGTTAATTTTGGTGAAATCCTCATTGTTGCTATCTTTTATGACACGGGTCAGCACAAGCAAACCATGATCAACATTAATGTCAACCCCACATTAATAAACCTAGGCTGTTTAATTGGGGAGGTACCATTTCAGCACCCATTTATCACCACCACAATTAATCAACCAGGGTCTATTAATCCGGGGTTGACATTACAAACTAGTGAGACGGCACTATTACGCTGGGATGGATCCTGATATATCATGATATTCTGATCATACATGAGCATATATGTGCGTGTATAGTTATATTACATTATAATTTATAATCATTATTATGTATATATATATATAAATAAATATCTATTTATTTATTGTATATAGGTATATATATATATATTTACATATATATATATATATAAATATTTAATTACATATATATATATATATATATGCGTGTTTTGCGAATGTTTCCAACATCTGGAATAGTGCTTATGGGGTCAAGTGCTCGCCGAGCAATGCTCGGCTACACTAGCGGCTACCCGAGCCAAGGTCCAGGCCTCTGGGCCCACTTGGCCAAAGGCCGAAGGGGCGGAATGAAGGGCAACCAAACCTGGGCGGAACATTACCCTCTGGTAAACGTTTACATAACTATGGAAAGATCCACCATTTTTCATGGGAAAATCCACTATTTCTATGGCCATGTTCAATAGTTTTTTGTATGTTTACCGGAGGGTATATGAGTTGAACGGAATTCGACTTGACAAATTACCCAAGAGCTCGGCATGGAACCCCGCCTCCAAACTAGAGATGGACCATGAACTGTACTGAAGCTACATAAGCTGCTCCACATCTGGATTTTGATGACCAATACCCTGAGCGGTTTCCTCGCCTTTGTGGATGGCACATGCTTCAAGGCCTCTGGGAAGACGGGCTTCATCCCCAGATGCTGAAAAGGTCTTCATCTAGTGTATCCACCAGCATATGTATCTATAAGCAATACATAAACATATTTACAAATGTAATATATATAATTATCTATACGCACTATAAGTTATAAGTCGATATGCATCAATAATGCCTATATTTATACATTTACAAGTATTTAAACATATATATATATATATATTGAACGGGACATAAACAAACACATTCAAGATTTCGACATACCGGTCTTTTAAAAATCGTCCCATTTGATCCCCGATCCGCCTCGAAAATGCCCACGGCCCACATCTGCATTCCAGGATAGATGGTGGTGCCTTCCGGGTGAAGCCGTGAGATGTTTGCGCCAAAGCAGCAAACGAGGCAAAGAAACCAATACACCATATACATCCATATACCTGTATAAATATAAATATATACATCTATTTTCTTTATATATGTATAAATATATATATATACATATCTATACATCCTTATATATACATAATTATACATATGTATACATATATGTGTTATATATATAATTACATATTGTAGATGCATGATGATGGGTGGATAGATGATGACGCATGACAAATTGAAGGTTGATGATGAATGGATGGGCAGGTTGGGCTGCTGGACACATGATTGATCCGTGCAAAATCAGAAATTTAGGCATCAACCCGGCAAAAATAATCATCGTTTTATGATATTCTACGTGTGGATGTGTTGTTCACAAATCTCACTCCTTCCTAAGACATCTTTCATGAATTCCACCAGGATTTACTGAACTATCCATGGGATGGGACGTCGCGGCCTATGGGACGTCCAATGGGATACCAGGACATGTAGTCGTACCACTGGAAGAACTTCCTCAGGCCATGTTGGGCCAAGTACTCCTTGGCAAGGGATGCGGCGGTCATCATCATTATCTTCATCTTCATAATATCCTCATCCCAGGTAACCTGGTCAAATACAACAAACTGAACACTTTTTTCACATAATTCATCTAACTTGCTGAACATCAATGATCCATGCCAATAACCAAGAACCAAGGTAACCAAGAACCAGCAATAAGCAATCGCACCAATCGGAAATCATATATCTTTTCATATCTGATATCATCCATGACAATCACTGATCATACCTTCTGTGCAGGCATCACTTCTAATGTGGCACACCCGTGCAGGTCATAAGTGGCAACCCCCAAGTCATCAGGATTTTTCATCTGTAAAAACCATCACCAAATAAGTGACGCTTATGGCATTGTGTTTCCAACAATAATGGTAGGTTATTGGGAAATAATGGTAAAAACCTACCATTGGGTTTTGTAGCATTGTATTATTGGGAAATAACGTCACTACAATGCTGCGCTGCTTGGCAGCTCACCAAGTGGCAGCCGCTCGGTAGTTGAACCAGGGGTCAAACTCGTGGATGATGTATCCGAACCTCACCAGCGGCCGCCCGTAACAGAAACCTTTGAAATGTCAACAGCAGTGCCAACCGGTCACAGGAGGCATCCCAACATATCCCAGCTATGTAAATGTAATGTTGGTAAAATTGTAGCACAAACATGCACAAACCTTAAGAATCATTTGTCTTTTGAATGGTGTGGGACATCCATATGAAAATGTCTTATCAGCAAGTCAAACGTTTAGAATAGAAGGTTTATACTGTCTGATATCACAGACACAAACATAATATATATATACACGTATATATCATATATATATATATGAACATATATTCGTTAATGCTATACTATGTTATGTTTCTTTCCTGCACATGGTTTCCGCTGCTTACCTATACATGCTTCAAGCCAAGTAGCGTTCTGATGGCATGCAGCCGGATATCCTTAGCCAGGACCAAATTGTAGGAATCTGGACCAGGTTGGTTGAGTGCAGGGTAGGTTGAACTTGTTTGACTGGTCATGACTCAAACGATTGGTTCCAGGGATACAAGAAACCATTGGACCATGGTTTCACATAGTGTTGTATTTTACCAGCAAATATACCAGCTGGATCCCTGAAGTAATTTAACACAGCCATTTCACCCATGTCTGGATGGTTTGCCCATGTCATACATTGGCCATTGCAAACTATTTGAGTACCAGTGTGTAAAGGTTACAAACCGAACACTTTTCCCCATCATCCATTTCTGACATTTCTGGTCATGATGCTGAAAAAAAACAACGCCATGTTTGAAAAAAAACAACAAATACCAGCTACAGCCAGGCAACGTAGGCCGCATATGCAAAGTACAGGAGAAAGGTCGCCTGTTTGAGTGTGGCATGAGTTGTTTCCGTAATATGTTCCTATTCAAATATATTTACGAGGTGGTGCCCCAGTGTGTTAGCTTAGTTGGTTGAGATACCTAGTACGGTTTTGATTAGTGGTGGGCCCCCCGGGGTATGACGGATATTGACAGATGGGTGGGAGCACCAGTCCATGGCATACTGGACCCCATTTCTTATCAGCACATGGATACCACGTGTAGATGCACAAAGTGCATTGATATCGAAGCACGCGCATGATGATTGCATTCATATGTCCCTACGCATGCTACGTTACATCTTGTGAACATCAAAGAAACCACTAACACTTGAGCTCATCGGATATCGCGCCTGGATAAGGATCAAGCCTGAAGTGCCACGGCATGGGCGTGCTTAACATGTCGCAATATTCCTGGCTTTATTATAGCCTCAACAAATCCAGTGAACTATCTGAGTATATATCCAATCCCGATATACAATGTTGGGCCATCGTCTCAGCCGTGAGCAGGGGCCCACCGCTGGCAAGTTGCGAGTCCCCAAGGTGCCTAATTTGAAGATCTGCCGCAAGGGGAAGGCCACGACGTTCGGCAAAAGCATAGCAATTCGTCCTGAGGGCAACAAAAGGATGCACAAAGGCCAGTGGCAACGGAAGCTGGTTGTGATATGCATATATATATATAGCTTATAATAGATAGTAATGATATATATATATGAGCAGGGACCCCCACACCCCCCCTCCCCCCCAGCCAGATGGTTCCCCCCCCCCCTGTGGCAGGGGGAAGGGGGGGTTTTCTCAGCAGCCAAGCCGATTGTTGCTGGAGGTGATGCATCTTATACGCAAAATATATAGCTCAGTGCAAGGAGTGTGAGAGCAATGTATACATAGAAATCATGGTGTATGTAGTCTTTATAGTGCATATAGTGCATATGTATCGATAATTAGAATGGATATACTATATGTAATATAGAGTGTATGTGTGGTGTGTAAATATATACATATATATAATATGTAAGATATAAATAGAATATATGCAATATATATATATATTTAATATATATATAGATATATATTTATAATATATATATATATATATACATATTTATAATATATATATATATTTATAATATATATACATATTTATAATATATATATATATTTATAATATATATATTTATAATATATATATATATATTTATAATATATATATATATATATATTTGACACACACATATATATATACATTATATATACTGAACATATATATATATATATATCTCGTATATGTGGATTTTGATAGAATATAGATAGTATATGCCACATGCACTGTATCCACAGTAGATGTAATATATACAATATAGGTAAATATGTTCGTTGAATAAATTTTACATAGTATATGTGGTCTGTTGAATATCGACAGCAATACACGCTGTATATCTAGAGTTTATGTATATATGTACATATATATATATATGTACATATATATATATATGTATATATATATACATGTATATATATATACATGTACAGTACAATGTAAACGAAATATGTGATACATACAAGATCAAGATATCAATATGTAGTATCTAGAATGTGCATATATATATATTTATTGTTTTTCTACTGTACATATGTCTAGGTTTGCATAGGTACGCTTTGCGTAATCCATAGGTAGCAAATATGTTGTAAACCATGTGCGAGGCACGCTATAGGCGGTTCGAAAAAAAGGTTATGATAGAAATATACAGGTAGACAAGGTCCGTTGACGAGGTCGTGGCTCTCAAGTGCTGCAAATAACGTAGAGATGCGAGGTTGGAGGGGTGGAAAGGGGAGTATATATGTGTATATGTGTATGTATATGTGCAAATAACATGCAAATACTAGGTTTTGGGGGGGTGGGGGGGTTAGGAGTGGGGGGGGATACCATTGGGGGGGGGGGGGGGTGTGGGGGTCCGGGGACCGGGCTCATATATATATGTATATGACATACTCAAAATGAAGTTTGTAATTGTATAACAATGTTCTCATTTCTATTTGGGCAATAAATGACTTCTTACCCCCCCCCCAGTGCTCACTGGTACTTCCAAGTCCTCTAGGTACCTTCCTACCACCAAACGTCACCAAACGTCAGCAATCAAGGCAATCTATGCCTTCACGAGCCACATCCAGAACTTACCTGCTCAAGAATGGTTCGCTTAGATTCCAACTGTCACATTTTCAAGAGGCTGTGCCATCTGCAACTGCTAGATATTCAAGGGATAATATGCGATGCTTCCATTTTTCCGATCCCTTCCATTGGCATGGTAAACGCCTTTTAAAAGTTAATATCTGCATTACTATATATATATATATAAATACTATCATATACTATCTAGATCATTACCATGGTAGATTATATCTATAATCTATAATTATCTATCTATCTATCTATATATATATCTCTCTCTCTATATCTATATTACTAATCCGTTGCAAACTCTTCGCATGGTGCCTTCGCTTCCCGACGCCCCGACGCCTCTGCCAGGGTCTTCTGGCTCCAGCTGATGGATTGGATTGGACGCAAACCAATGTCTATCTGCATTTGTGGGTGGATACATTTGTACAGGTTAAAGGGTTATGTGTATATATAAATATACACACATATAGTTGTATATATATATATTATAAATATAAATATGTAGGATTTTGTAAGGTTTGCGGATGTATGTGAAGATTCGTGTATTTACAAATGAAAACACATGCGCTTCTTGATATTGCCATGCTTTCTGACAAGAGGGATGGGGCTGCATAGAAGCATGCACTGGCCCCTTGGGATTCTTCTCAGCTCGTGTTCCTTCGAAGCTAAGCCAAAACTGCAAGTTTCAGCACCCAATAGATTGAATTAGTTTATTTTCTGACTATTATCTTCGTTTGGTGGTTTTCATCTATTTCTTAGAAATAGGTTATGATGAGTTGCCGAAATATCTTCGACGATTCTGTCTATTATCTTGTTTTTTTCGGTCTATTTTCGACATCCGTGAAAACCAAAAATCTATTTATTTTTTTAACTATTTTTTAAACTATATATTATTTTTTGAAACTATATATCTTATTTCGATGCCCGGGCATCGCCCAAACACCGTCATAGTTAGGACCTAGTTTCTATCAAACTACGACCCTTTATTTTCATTTTTTTTGTCAAAGTACGACCCTGAATTTTCGAGAAAATTTGAAACTACGACCAAAGTACGACCCTATTTTTGGAAGGATATACAATGTGAAAACATATCATGTCAAAGTGTTTGTGATATAGCGCACTTGTCCTCAAACTTGTATGTGTGCCATCTTGTTGCGATGTGATCCCTTGTGGTTTGATGAGTTTTTTTAATCCATGATGACCTTGAGACATTTTGAGGGACCCTGAGAGACCTTGAGGGACCTTGAGAGACCCTGAGGGACCTGAGAGACCCTGAGGAAACTTGAGGAACTGTTTGAAAGAACTTGAGAAACCTTGAGGGAACTTGAGAAACTGTTTTTGAAAGAACTTGAGAAACCTTGAGGGAACTTGAGAGACTCTGAGGGAATTGAAGAGACTACATGAGGGACCTTGAGGGCACTTCCTGAAACCAATGAGTAATGGTTTTATTAAAAAAATAGGTCTATTTTTGGAAGGTTGCAGTTTGCTGGAAGCAAATCTCTAAAACATTCGGAGTCATGAGAATGGTTTTGCCCATCTTCAAGGTTGAGAGAAGTTCCACTTCCATATGTATAGTCAAATAATTCTCGCAAATATCCATGTATTTCATTCCGTGGATTGCTGTCTCACTCAAGGTTTTGCAGGTCACAGTGGATTGTTCTCTCCTGCTCAAGGATTGCAATTTCAGTGGACTCTCTCACTCAGGGTTGTGTGTTTGAGTGTGCCCCCTCTCTCACTCAGGGTTTTCGGTTGGCATGTCCTGTATATACGTTTCACGTTTCACTTGTATCCATACAAAAACCATGAGGGGAAACTTTGAGAGACCTGGAGAGTTTTGGGATTTGGGGTTGAGTCTAAAATATGTGAGTAGAAATTTCAACCAATTTGAGAAGAGCCACAGGTTTTGGAACATGCATGCAGAGCTGAGACAACTGAACTTTATCAAAATGTATCACTGAAAATGACTTCAATAGTTAGACTCTGTGGTTTATCAACCAGTATTTTGGGCTCTGAACAATAGCTGTCAAATTTTGATAGGTGCTTGCAAACATGCTGCAACCGCGCCAACGTCTCACTGCAGATCCAACAGTGAGTGTTGCTGATCTCTGCGGGCCTCTTGAAACCTACATGGATCAAGAGCGTGAGAACAATGTTTTCAAGGTTTTGGAGCCGCCCCCCCAAGCCAGTTGGAAGAGTGGTTGTCCTACTGGGTGGTTAAGTGGTTTGGCTGACCTCTTCAAAGCCTACGTGATTGTGGCGCCCAAGACCATCGTGAGTGCCAAAAAGCACAAACAAGCTATGCTCAGGCTTTTGGAGACCAAGAAGTGGGGACATTCGAAGAAGAACAATGATGATGCAGCTGACATGATGGATGATTGGGTGCGCATTGGGTTGGCACACTTACGTATTTTGAAACAACATGCAGACAAAAGAGAACAAGCATTCCGAAAATGCGACAAAGCACAGCGCCAAGCCTTAGACAGCATCCTTGCTTTGATCAATGTCGATGTGGGTAGCCAACTCGCCCTTTGCCCTGTGGATGGCGACAGCCAACAATCTGCAGAAGCATCACCCTCCCCTTCGCCCCCACACACGACGAGCAATCAGAGCAGCCAGCCCGTGAACCCAAAATCAGTGTCTATGGATTTCAATGCAATCTTTGATGGAGTCTTGCAAGAAAGTGAGGAAGATGAACAGAAAGAAATCAAGATTACATACCTCAAGCAGCCTTCCTCAACTGGCGCCTCCAGCTCAAAAGCAACCCAAGATGCTGAGAGCCCATCCCCCCAGAAAAAAAACATCTTCAGCCTCCACATGACTGAAGAAGAGAAAGACTTGATGAAAAGCGCAGCAGAGGCAGAACCCATTGCAAGAGACGGCAAATCCCAAAACCAAAGGATCAATGCCATTGCGCCCAAACCAAAGAAGAATGCGAAAGGAAAGAAGAAGAATGCGCAGAAGAAAACAGAAAGCAAAGAGAAGAAGACCAAAGGAGATGCAGAAGAGCAATCCACCCGAGCCCCCATGAAACGACCCGGTGCAGCCCCGGAGACGCTGGGCTTGACACAAAATGAAGATGAGGACAAACTCAAGGAACGTATCCCTGAAGGAATTGTTGAAGCAGCATTGAATCTCACCAAAGACCTTGATCCAGCCGAAGTTTCCCGAGAGGTTCGACGACAGCGAACAACCAGCAATGCATACCACCGCAGTGAAGTACTGTTGATGAGGCAGGGCATGTGCAAAGAGGATGCGCAGGCAGTGGGAAGGGTTGCTGGTAGATTGGCAGGGGCTGAATGTGACAAACTATGTCCCAGTGCAAAGGCCAAAGCAGCTGCAAAGAGCAAATCAAGTCCCAAAGCAAGTGCTAAGAGCAAACCAAAGGCCAAAGCCAGCACCCTGAAGAAGAAGATCCCCAAAGAAAAGACGAAGAACATGAAGAAGAGCAAAGAGGAACAGATGGGCACCCAAGAGATCGAGAAGACCGAGGTCCTTGAAGAGACTGCGATGAACTCGGAGAACACGCAGAAGAACCCTGAGGATGTTGACTGAGAGTGCAAGCCTAAGCTAGAAAATGAGAACTCGGTCGTACAGATTTTGCCTGCAGGTTGAGCTAAATTGATTTGATTTCTTCAAGTTGTGTTTCAAAATCAAACTTCATGTGAGTGTCTGTGTGTGTGCAGCACTTTCTCTTGGTGAAATGTTCAGCCTGGAAAGATTGTTGGAACCGCTCAGTGCTACCGTGTCACCTAGCTTGCCACTGAAAAAAGAACGTTTTGCCTGCCGAGCCGAAAACTTGAAACGATACAAGTGTGAACATGTTCCAAAGTGCTTTACACGATGAGGTTTGAGTTGAATTATATAAAGAGACAACTTACAAATTATACACAATAATCTTGATAAACCGTGAGAGAAACCTTGAGAGTTTGTAAATTTCCCCTTGGTTTAGACCTTGCCAAATGGACCCCCCCAAGTCTGGGAAAATCGCATGATTTCCTGTGTTTTGGCGCCAATTTTTGGGACTTGGTGGGGTCCATTTTGGGGGGGGCCCACCCACGGGAAATTTGGTATTGAGAGTCATGTCACAATTCAAAACCATGAGAGAGCATGCTCAGAGGGGTGATTTTTTTCAACACTAACCTTGAGAGAGAGAGAGAGGGACTCAGAGGGATGATTTTTTTTTCAACACTAACCTTGAGAGAGAGAGAGAGGGGCTCAGAGGGATGATTTTTTCAACACTAACCTTGAGAGAGAGAGAGAGGGGCTGAGCCGGCTTCAAGACGCGAACCAAGCCTGTGGTCACAGCAAAAAGGTGAGGCGCGTTCTGACATGTGAGCGTAGTTTAGCTTGAAAAGAATCTAGGATATGAAGTGATTCCCAAAAACTGTTTCAAACTCAATGGGGGTATGGAAATTGTAAAACAGAACAATGGTGCATTCATGTGAGCATGTCGAATTTGAAAGAGGTTTTCTAGCTTTCAACTAAGAAGCATTGCCATCTTCTGTAGTTGTCCATGTGAAGCTTGTACATGTGTATATTCCATATACTTGCGTTTCAAGGACACTATCATTGGAAGACAATGGAAAACGATGAAAACACACATGCAGTCCCACCATTATTTTCACAAAGCCGAATGTCAGACCATGTGAGTTTAATCTTTTCATGATCAGTCTATTTGACAAACACTGCACAGATTTCACCTTCACTGTCTGAGAGAGTTCAAGTTACACATCCATGAACTCCAGAACCGCTTCTAAGACCTTTATGATCAACATGTTTGAAAAGTCATGCAAGTTTGGCAATTTCAAGTATCCCTGAGCCCCAGCACTGCTTTCCAACCAGTTCCAAACATTTGGACTGCTTTAATGTTTAAACCTTCTCCCACGAAATCCCTGTGCCACTTTCGAAAGCCATGCAAGATGAGAAGCCGCCCCATAGAGTGTTCGTCAAGCACCTCTACATGTCGACCACAGAGCACGACATGGTGGAGCAGATGAACTATCTGAATGCTACGGAGGGATTATACAATGTGTACCTGGTGAAGCGTGGGCAATATGATGGAAACAAAAGCATCAACGCCTTCCTGAGCTACCAGACAGAGGACCAATGCCGGGCAGCGATAGAAATCCTGAATGGATCCTACCTGAATGGACTGGCAAAGTACCCCTTAGAAGTGGACTTTGCAGTTCCTCGCAAGACTGGCAGGAGGTACTATGCTCAGCCCCCGGAGCAGCTGGAGCACACAGCAGAGTTTGCAGAGGGCAACTGGCAGCAGCACCACCCGCAGTCCCAGGACGATGAGCAGAACCAGATGGACAACAAGGAGCCTGATCTACGACAACCTCAAACACCACCAAAGGCTTCAGAGAAGACACCGCCTATGGCTCCTGCGATGCCACCCATGCATCACTTACCACCTCGACTGCCTCTGCCGCCTTTGCCGCCTGTGCCGCCCTTGGCACCTCCCAGGTATCCTCTGATGGTGCCACATGGGTACCCGGTGCCACCGCCAATGCTGCCAATGGGATACATGTTCCCACCACCACCTCCTGTTTGGGTGCCGCCACCATGGGCCATCCCCGAAGACTGGAGTGGAAGTGCGAAAAGCAAAGCAATGGGAAGCAAGGTCCCTAAAGCTGAACCTGAAGGTGACAGCGGCGAAGGGGATGAGGAGTTACAGACCTGGTTACAGGACAACCTGAAGGACAAAGTGTGGGACGATGGGTATGGGTCAGTGGAGGCTGCAGAGTCCTACATGCTGGAGAAGACCATCAAGGACAAGAAGCAGAAGGCCGACAAGACAAAGGACAAAAAAAAGGATGCCAAAGAGAAATCAGAAAAAAAGGCGGCAAAGGACAAGGACAAGGACAAAGATCAGAAGAAGAAGGCGAGCAGATCGAGGAGCCGATCAAAAACCAAAAAGGAGAAAAAAACCAAATGAATTTGCTGTGACAGGTGGCTAAGCTACTGGAATTGGCCCAACCCGGAATCAAACAGCCGAGCCGACTTGAGCTTTGGGAGGGGAAAAAAACGAGTGCGGGGGTCTTTGGGATAGGAGGTGGAAGACATTGCTGCTTGAGTCTTTGATGTCTATAGCTGTACTGAAAATAAGTACCAAAAAACGCCCTTTTTGGTAGTTATTTGTTGTTTCACCAAGAACAATGTTTTTCAGATATTTCTGTGGGGTTCAAATCATGTGCACATGTCAGTTCATGCAGTCAGCTTGCCAAGTGGTATTGTAGAAAAGCTATCATCAAACATTACAAGTGGATGGAATTCAGTTTTCATGGAAACATGTTTAAACTGGGTAAAATGTTCTTGAGGCGTTTCAGCCAAATACGTGACACAAACAAACGGTTTGAGAAACATACTTTGCAACTCAATGAGTCAGGTCACAATACCTGCAGACATGAGCTGAGTGTGGCCGCTGACTGTGATCGTTTGAATTTTGGCTCCAGTACATGGCTGCAAGACTGGGAGGGTTTGAGAGTTTCAACATGTGATCAACATTTGCATTGAAGAAAAGATATCATCAAAAATGGCAAGTGGATGGACTTCATTTTTCATGGCGATATTTTTGAAACTGAGTATCATTTGTTTTGAAACCTTTCAGCCAAACATGTGACAGTATAGAGCTTGAACCTTGAGGGACCCTGAGAGCTGTGAGAGCGCATGGCGAACCTTGAGGGACTGTGTGCATGTTAGAGACCGTGAGAGTAGAGAGAACACATGTTGAACCTTGAGGGACTGTGTGCATGTGAGGGACCGTGAGAGTGGAGAGAACACATGTTGAACCTTGAGGGACTGTGTGCATGTGAGGGACCGTGAGAGTGGAGAGAACACATGTTGAACCTTGAGAGACCCTGAGTTGAGAACTTGAACTCACCCACAACCAACCTTTCAACCCCAAGAGTTATTCCATGGAAAAACATTGCAGTGGATTAGAAGATATTAGAGATAATGTGTTTAGGTACTCAAGAGTAGCTCACAACTTCAAACTATGTCAATCCTCTCAGAGTTTCACTCAATGTCGCTCCTCTCAAAGTCTCTCACGGTTGATAGTTGCACGGTTGCAAGGTTAGCAATGTACTTGATCATGATCACTAGACTTGTCTAGCGTTTGAGAGCTTGAAAATTCATGATCAAGCATGCGGAAAACTATTGTTTTGATATTGAAGCCTACTGAGTGCTCAAAGGATTTACACGACCCCGGATTTCAAACTCCCGTGGATCCCATGTCTGAGAAGGCAATGCTGTGTGCTGCTGAGTCCCAAGAGCCAACCCAGGGTCAAGCAACCAATGTGATTGGACCTGATGTTGATGCTGAAACCATTTGCTTGGGTGATAGCCCACCAGCTCATGTGAATTCCCCTGGTGACCTGGTGCCCGCTACTGAAACCTTGGAGCCAGCCGATTCCCAGCCAATCTCTTTTGGAACGCCCCCTGAACTCTTTGTTGCTGAGAATGAAACCCAACAGCCCAATGATACCTATGAAACCATGTCAAACCCTGATGAACTTCACGCTTTGAATGCTGATACGTTTGTCCAGGGTGAGATCCCAAAGGATGAGCTGTGTGGGTCTCAGAATCCAGCAGTGCCAGCCGAGTCTGAGCCCATGGATTCCCAGCCAATTGGTTCTGACCCGCCAGATTCCCCAGCAGCTTCTCCACCATGTCCTGATGAAGATTGTGAAAGTGAAGAACATGCTTCGGATGATGAGATGCCTGGTTTCCTCACCATGGATGGAAGCGGATATTGGACTCAGCATGGTCAGGTCAGCGGCTACTCCTTGCAGCTGATGGAGGTTGTCCAGCAATTGCTCGACAACCATGATGCTTCTGGATCTTCTCAGCCAGCACCACCTCAGAACCCAGGAAGCCGTGCAACGCGTCGCGCAGCTCGCTTTGAACGCCAGCGCAAGGTCAACAAGAAGAAGGGCAACTGAGGTTCAGTAGTTGCTAGGGATAAGTCTTCAAAGTACTGAAGCACTTTTGTTATCAGCTTTTCGTATGTAGAGTTGGCTAGCCCTAGAGCTCCATAGACCGTGAAGAAGTAGGAGTATTTGGACCCAACTTTGCTTGCTCAGCTTAGATCTCAACGAGATGCGACAAAAACAAAGCTCCACTGTCAGCTGCAAGTCTTGAGTTTCACACTGGAATGAATGCAGTGAAGAATCAAACTTTATTCACAAAGATGCACAAAAATTCTGGTTTGAAGTAGAAACCATGAGGGACTTTGAGAGGAGAGACAGCTGTTCTGTGAGAATGGGGTCGTAGTTTGGTAGAAAGTAGGTCATACTTTATAGTCGTAGTTTGGTCATACTTTCCGGAGGTGTCATACTTTGAAATCACAAAACATTGTAAATACCATGTGTTTTGATGGGCAACTATCAAACTACTATCAAAGTACTATCAAACTACTACCAAAGTACGACCAAAGTACGAGTAGAAACTACGACGTAGTTTCTACCAAACTATGACCCCATCTTGAAATCACAGTTCAAATTACACTGAAATTAACATATTTTTTTCCAAGTGTAAATGAAATTCTGAATTGGTTTTGATGAATTTGACAAGAAAGTGGATACTTTGCATGTGACAAAGTCATGGTCTTTGTTGTGAATTGCTGCAAAGTGTTTGCTGCCAATATACTTGTTCGTTCAGATTTTCAGCATTACATCGGGCCTTGGAACTAGAACTTGTGTTCCTTAGCAATGCCTGTTTTGAAGCGGCCGGCTTCAGCGAGTGGACTTCCTTCTATGAAGAAGCCTGCTTCTCATAGCTCCATCAAGGACGTGGTCAGTGAACTCAAGGATAGTCAGAAGCATGATGAGGACAAGGAAGGGTCTGAAGAAGTAGCGCGTGACAAGCAGAAAGCGCAAAAGTTTCACAAAATGCTGAACCAGGGATCACTACCGGAGCACATCGTGCACATGTACAACATCGAAGCCAAGAAAAGTAAAGATGGAGCTCGAGCCTTTCAGACCCGTTTGATCAATTCCCTGTTTCAGAAGAACAAGGACGGCACCTTCAGTGTACAAACTGAGAAGCATGAGTTTCAGGAGTACAGGAAAATTTACCACCAGTCTATTGCAAAGGACAAGACGGAGGCATTACCCCGTACCATCATGCTTGCATCTCACTTCGGTGGGAATGAGGCCTTAATGAAGAAAGCCCTGGACAATGGTGAGTTGGTGTCTAAGGTTGACAAGCAGTCCAACGTTGAATACCTCCAGTTCAGGAAGCTCACCAATGCCGAGGTGCGTGGCAATGAAGAAGGAGAACACGTGGCTGGGTCCAAGAAGCTCTCCAGAGAGCAAGCTCATTCCTTGGCCAGTGTCATGGCCAAGCTCAAGTGGAAGTTTGAACTGAGCAAGGCTGGAGGTGTGAACATGTTAAATTGAGAAATCAGCAGGTCATTTTTTCCAGTGCCCCATAAAAAAGGCAAACGTTTTTCCAAACCTATTGAAAACAAACGCTCCCGAAATGGAAGCAAACCCAAGGCTTTTGGTATGCTTTACAGCAAAGTCTTCACATCCTTAGAGCGTGTTTTCTTGATCCCCTTCAACCCCAAGAAATGGATACCTTGTTTGACTCATTAAATTTCATCCCATGGAACCTCAGTGAACAAGGCCAACACTAGGAAATGCCCACTTCTCTTTAATCAGTTCCCTGAAAGTTTCCCTCAAATGATCTCTCTCTCTCTCTCAAAGCATCTCTCA